GCCGCCGCCGCCCGCCCTTGCGCCTCAGCTCGCTCCTGCTCAGCACCACCATCGAGGGCGGCTCGGGGCTGGGCGAGTCCCGCTCGCCGCAGCGGCTGTCGCTGCTGGGCACCGGCGAGGAGGTGCCTGAGTGGTTCCGACCAAAAGGCTCGGCTGGGAGCTGTGAGCTCGAGCCGGGGCTGCGGGGGTCCGGCCGTGTTCTGAGGTCGGCGGTGCAGGAACCCTGCCGGGCACAAACTTCCCCGTCCCCAAGCACTCCCCAGGAAGTGCTGCCACCCTTTGAGGGTGAGCCACAGCCCCCTCTGCCCTGTGACAGTGGCTCTTGTGAGGAACCCTGTAAGGTTCCATCTCATCTCACAAGAGATTCGGCAAAAAGAAGCTCGAGCTGTCACCAAGATCTAGCCAAGGAGTTCCAGCTTGTACCAGTGGTGGTCCTGGACCCTCTGGAAGTGTCATTAAGATTGAAGAACATGAAACTCAACAAGCAGGCTGATGTTCAACCTGCCTGCCTGCAGCCAGGATCTCCCGTGGGCCGCCAAGGAATCTTGGAGAGCAAACACAAAAGGACCAAGGGTGCCCCTGGGGAGGGCAGCACCTGCAGGAAAGCTTGTATCAGTGGCTTCAGCGCCAGCCGCTGGGGCAGGCACACCAGGTTCCGGCCAAAAAGGCACAAGAAGAGACAGCAGCCCAATAACTCCTTTATTGGACTCCGGACTAGGCGAAAACAAACTCAGAAGAGAGCTCTGGAGATGTCTGTAGGTGTCAGAGACAATGACTATTCACTCCTCAATAGCTCTTATTCCTGGGCTAGAGTTCGAGCATCTCTGTCCTTCCATAAAAAGAAGAAAGTGACCACAGATGAGAGTTTCTGCAGCAGCATCCTCTGCACCCCTTCAGGGAAATCCCAGCTTTTGGGACAAGCCAGCCTGTCTGCTGGCAAAGCTCAGGGCTGCTCCTCGTTGGTTTCCTCCATGGTCCTGCTGGCTCCCAGGGATTCCTCCTCTGTCCTGGAGCTGCTGCTTACAGATGCAGAGAAGGTGTTTGGAGAATGCAACCAGGAGGGGCCTATTGCTTTTGAGGAATGCATTCCTTTAAATAAGATGAAAGATTGCAAGAAAATTGGAGAAGGGGTGTTTGGAGAGGTGTTCCAGATTGACAGTGAGAGAGGACCTGTGGCCTTAAAAATAATTCCCATTGAGGGGACTAAAAAAATAAATGGTGAAGCTCAGAAGAGCTTTGGGGAGATTCTGCCTGAGGTAATAATTTCAAAAGAGCTCAGTCTTCTGTCTGAGGGCTGTGTGAACCGAACTGTGGGGTTCATCAGCCTCTACTCTGTGCACTGTGTCCAAGGGACCTATCCCAGGTATCTTCTGGAAGTCTGGGACAAATTCCACAAAGAAAGAGGCTCAGAAAATGACCGGCCAGACTTTTTTGAGGCCCAGCAGCTCTTCATGGTGCTGGAGTTTGAATTTGGAGGCAGGGACTTGGAGTGCATGAGGAGCAGCTTCTCCTCGGTGGCATCAGCCAGGAGCATTTTGCACCAGGTCACCGCGTCCCTGGCGGTGGCAGAGCAGGAGCTGCACTTTGAGCACAGGGACCTGCACTGGGGGAATGTGCTGGTCATAAGAACAGACATGAAAGAGCTTCAGTATGTGCTGAATGGAGAAACACACTCCATCCCCACAGCTGGGATCCATGTCAACATCATCGACTACACCCTGTCCCGGCTGGAGAAGGATGGGCTGACCGTGTTCTGTGACCTCTCCACAGATGAGGAGCTCTTCCAAGGTGCTGGGGACCACCAGTTTGACATCTACAGGCAGATGAAAGAGGAGAACTCCAACAGCTGGACTGGCTACAACCCACACAGCAACGTCCTCTGGCTGCACTACCTGGCTGATAAACTTTTGAAAGCCATGAACTACAAGAAGAAGGCATCAACTCCTGCCCTGAAGAAAATCAAGATGCAGCTCAACAAGTTCCACAAGGAAGTGCTGACCTTTGGGTCTGCCCATGATGTTCTGCGCCACAGCAGCCTCTTCCAGTGAGCAGCAAGCCACTGGTGCTGCCTTTCTCCTCTGTTTTTTGTATGTGTTGGCACAATGAAGTGTTTTGATTGGTTCCCAGTGTGTTTAATACATTATCAAAAATATCCTAAAAAATCCCGCCCCGGTGTCTTCTGCTCTGTTTCCTTAGCTACTGGTTCTGGGGGATGTCGCAGGGAAGAAAACAGAGCTGACTTTGGAAAAAGGAGGGGAAAAAAGACTTCTTCAGGCTCAGTTAATGCCCTGAATTTCACATAAATTTTTTTTACCATTTTAGCTTTAGATTATTAAAAGTTCTTTTCTTACTGTATTGTCTTTTTTACAGATTCTTTTTTTAAAAGGTAAAAACCCTTCAGTTCTGGACAGTGAGGACAAGAGTTAAATATTGTTGGCTCATTGGAGACAGAGGGGAAAACCCATCCTTTTATTTAATTTTGGCAACATTTATACCTGTAATGAAGGTACAAAATGTAAATATATGAAGTTTCTGTAAAGGGCTTTAAACCCACTAATCTGCTTTTTTTTTTTTTCCTCCCTCTCTTAAGGACCAAGGAAGAGGTACCTGATTGTGAAAAAAATAAGACAAAGCACCAGTGTTTCTGATTTTTGATGGTTATAATGCTGTGGCCTTATACACTGATAGGAACTCAAATCTGTAACCTGGTGGTAGCACTGAAGCCATTTCTTCATTTATCTACACAGGAAAATGTCCAAGGTAATAAATGTTCTTTAGCCCTGACTGCAGATGGACCAGGTGTCCTAAACTGGAAGCTCTCCTTACATTGAATCCCAATTCCCTGTTTTCAAGAAGTCCTTTGTTAACATTCCTGTTTATTAAATAAACTGGGCTAAAGAGAACAATAAATCAAACTAAAGTGAAAAGTGAATTAAATTATGATCCAATGACACAGATGCATTAAGAAATTAAGAGACAGCATCATTAAATTCATTATAACTGGAATGCTCTCCATGCAGTCTAATAAATAAATGTTTTATCTGTGAATCTCAAAGATTCATCTTGGACCCTCTCAAAGTCTCCTTTTTTACAAACCCAACAAGGACACCCTGGAATGGTTTTATTCTGCCTTCCAGACTCTGCAGAAAGTGACCTGACAATTTGCAGTGCTTCAAGTTATTAAGATGGAAATTTTGCTGGAATGTTCCCAGGCATCCTCTCAACCCCTTTTTTTCCCCTCTAATTGAATAAAGTAATGCACTGTAATTGAATAGTCTTAAAACCCACTTGGTAAGGCCTGCAGTGAATGCTTATCTGACATCAAGGTGTGTTCCTCAGTCACAATGGTGCTAATTTCATTTATGCTTTAAAAAGAAAAAAAAAAAAAAAAGGATGGATGAAACCATATTATTTTTTGCCTGCCTTGGTCCTTTGTTTCTGTGATTTGAGAACTGATTTTGGCTTTACAGGAGGGACGGGGCAGTGTCAGGAATTAATGCCAGGAGAGGTGACAGCCCCCAGGGGGACCTGGTGCACTAACGTAGGAGATTCTGAAAGCTGAAACCACAGAATGTTTCCCTGCAAACCAATTTGATCGTTTGTGAACAGGTAGTAATTTTCATTAATCAAAATGTAAAGCTTCTACCTCCCCCCAAAACTGGACATTAAATTAATATAGAAACCTTTGCTTTAAACTGTGCTGGCAAGGAAGTGCAGCTGCCAGAGCTAAACCCTCATTTCCTTTTTAAAAGATGCTCTCTGATTAAAAAAAAAAAAACACAGAAAAAATACCATGTACTAATCAGCCCTCATAAATTTTAATGGGAGGATGGTGACAAAAAAGGAATTGGAATAGTAAATTTCCCCTAATCAAGTTAAATGCCCTGAACATGTTTTCATCTGTGTGAAAGCTTTACTTGGAACAGAGCTGGATTATGTATTTTAAAGATCTGCTTTCCCTGCTGAGGAAAGGATGCCAGAACCCAGTTTGCCCCTTCAGAAAACACAAGTTTTTTAATACACACCACATCAAAATTAGAGCCTTAAAGGGTGCTCCATCTTTTACTGAAATATGGAAATTTGAACAAAGCTAAAATTATCCTAAGGGAGGGAAAGACTTTTCACGTGGATCCAAAGGCTTTAGGAGAGTGACAAGAGCAAGCCTAGTTTTGTATAATTATTGGTAAATCAGATGGGTTGCAAGTAGGAATAGGTCAAAGTAGATTTTGTGGTGAAGCCAGCAACCCTCTCTTGGAAGCCCTCACTTTCATCCAAGTGCCAAATCTCTGAAAATTTTGCCTATTTTGATGGAGAAGACAGATAAATTATGGATTACCCTGTGAATACTCTGTAACTCACCAGGGTGCTGTTAAGATATGTATTTTTTGCTCATTCTGGGAAAATGAGACATTATGTGCAGGCATATGCAAATGATCTCTTGCCTTGAGAAGCTGAATGAGGAGGAAGAGCAGCTCTGGCCTCAGTGTAGAAAGAATGAAGAGCAGCTGCTCAGAGTATCATTCAGAGGCAGGAAAAAAGGGAAAATAGTAATTTCTGCCCAATTCTGCAGTTCCAGACTGCAGCAGTTAATGGTGCTGCTGGTTGGCCACAGTGCCCAGCAGGGATGAGGCTGCCAAGGAAGAAGGAATTCTCCTTAGAGCTGAATAAAAACAGACTGGAAATTCAACTCGGCCTGGGACTGCTCCCATAAAACAAATTAGGTACAAATAGCCCAATAAAAGCTTGGGAGTCTTAAAGAAGATAAATCCAGTATTTAGGCTCTCCTCCTAACAAGTGGAATGCTCCTTCCCTTCCCTGGAGCTCATTGCAAGGTTTGTTTAGGTAGTAAATCACTTGGTGGCTGTGCTGGGTTTCCTCTCAACTGAGAGCTGTGGGGCTGTTCCCCAACCTCACCTCCACTGGCACCTTCCTCAAATGCAGATTTTTGGGGGTGTTCAGGAGCAGAGTTGTCACACAGTCATCTCCACTGTCATATTTATGGTCACTTCAGTGTGGCCCCCACTGATTCCTTCCTAGGAGCAGACAGAAAAAGGGGTTTTATTTCATGAGAGGCCTGGAGCATCCTGGTTCTTGGAAGTTTTGGGAATTACTCCCTCCAAATCCTTTCACACACAGGACAATGCAACAGCCCAATTATTCAGTAGTCTTCAAGGTGTGTAGGAAAATGCTTCCTTTTCAATCTCAAAGGCAGACCCTTCCATACTTTATATAACATCTTATCATTCAAGGTTGACTTGCAGCACTGTTGGCCTTGATCAGCTCCTCAGCCAATCTGCAGGGTGGATTTTCACAATGAAGTGTTGCCTTCTGTTAAATGTAGACTGAGCAGCTCCTTGTGCAGTGCTCTGCTGTTCATCTGTTCCTAATGAAATGCCAGAATTGGCATTTTTAGGATGATTATTGTTGTTTAAACCTCAGTCTGTGCTCTGGAGTTTCTTGGGACAGCCCCAGAGATGAAGCACTGCATGAATGGGATGTTACTGAAGGATGAATTGCAGGGAAAATCAAAAAACACCACTGAGGGTTTGGAGAAAATGCCTTTTGCACAAAGATGACGTTTTGTATGAGCTCTAAATGCAAAATCTGGAGAGTGCAACTCCTCAGACTCACTGAATCTGATTGTCAAAGGCAAATGAGCAGTGCAGATGGTCTTGTTGCTGCAGCCCTTGTGTGGGGGCACTGAAAGCAAACACAAATCAGGTCACATTAAACAATTCTCATTTTCCTAAGGTAGATTCAGAATATCTTTACATGCACACAAGCAAAATTCCCAAGAATTAAAACTAAAAGACTCTCTAGTGATGGGTTCAGCTCCCAAGAAAAGGTTTATAAGAAACAACATTAAAAAAATCTTCACTGGGGTCAAGGTCTTGGTAAAGAAACTCCAGTTCTTTGCCCCTGAATTGCCACAGGATAAAATCATCTCCCAATGATGAGAAGTTTTTCTTAAATTAATATTCAAGTTGAGGAGCACAGCTTTGCAGAGATGAGATTTATTCCTTTTTCTACTTACCAATAAATATCTCCTGTCTGTGGCTGATGTTCCTGGAGAAGTTCAATGATAATTAACAATGAGATGTTGTGTGCAGAGGTACTCAGCAATGCTGACCAACACTCCAGAATCTCATGAATTATTCTTAGGAAATAAATGTACAACAACATCAGAATCCCTGAGGGCACTGCAGCCACAGTCATTAATGTTCATTACTGCTCAGCACTGAATGTTGTCCCCACTTCTGTGCCCTCTGCTTTATGAACACCTAATTAAATATTTAATTGTGGTAAAGACTCCTAATTGCTACTAGAGCAGCAACTTGTCCAGAATTCCCAGTTTTTACCTTGCTGAGACACTGGTAAAGCTCAGATTGTATCAAAACACAATTTTGCTGCAACAGTGCTGTTATTTTGGAAAATTAGGATTCTCTCAGGGATGAATCTCATGCTGGCGAGACAGGGAACAGCTGGTCTTGAGTTAGTCACTGAAGAGCAGATAAGGAACAGAAACAAATTTTGGGGCTGAAATATTACAGGGAAAATGTTTTAAGGAAGCCTGGCAGCAAGAGCAAGAACTGCTCAGTGTTTCCATGCTGTGTCACCTGGACCAGGCTGGCCTATTTACAGCAGTTCCAGTTTCTGCTGGGAATGTTCAGAACACACAAAATCCCAAGAGCCTGAAGGAGCAGACAGCCAAAATACACCAATATGGGCAGAGTTTCAGGATTGAACGTGGTATTTATGTTTCCATGAGATAAACACACTGTCTAGCAGTTCCAACTCTTTATCTAGAGTTTGTTTGCAAATCCAAAATGCAAGGAGAAAATCAAATCCATCTGCCCTGCCTCTGTCTTTGTGAACTCCACAGGGCACTCAGCTGACAGGGGTCTGATTGAAAATGAGTGACAGTATGGAAATAAATTTATTTTTGTATAAATAACCTAAATTATCAGTGCTGGACCGCAGACATCAAAGTCTTGTCAGACCTTCGTCTGTGTTAATTCATGTTCATTATCTCATACTTGTCCAGATCTTTAGACATACAAGGCAAAACCCTTTGTAGCTTGGACTGAAGGGTTTATATTTTAGATAATTTCTATCACTGGGAAAGATGGGTTTTTTTAAACATCCCTCTGATGCTGAATTAAAAATAGAATAATGACACATTGCATGGAACATAGATTCTATATTTGTCTTTGAAACATTTCCCCAGCACACTAAAAAACAACATTTATTACCTACCAGAGAGCACAATCATGTCCTCCAGAGATCCTGCAGTGTCCTGGAGACCATCAGGGAAATCAAAGATTGTCCCAAGGAGAGGTCATCTGCACATTGGAGTGGCTTTTCAAGGTGAATGAACCAGCCTAGAAAACATCAGAGAAGGATTTATAGCAAAGGTAGCACTCGTATTAAAAAATGTAAAATACATCTTACTGCATGGTCTTACCTTAAAGCAACTGAGGGGGTTGCCAGGCTGCTCCAGAGCAGGATCCATCCCTGTCCTCATCCTGTGACAGGAAAAAGCCACAAGAGGGTGCCTGTTGTGTGAATCCTGATGTGCCCCGGCTGCTGCTTCCTGCTCCCAACCACCCTGAGCAGATTCCAGCAGAGCCCCAAAGGCTTTCCTGGGCTGTCCAAAACGACACAATTCACTTTTATCCTGGATATTGGCACGGATCCTGTAGGATCTCTTGTTTTCTGCATGGCCCCAGCAGCAAAGGGTGTGGGAGTTAACTCTTCTTTTTCTTGTTTTTCATGGTCAACCCAAGCAAGTTTGAGTTGCACAGAAGAGCCTGGCAGGGCAAGGGCTGCACCAGCAAATTCCTGCACACAGGTAAAAATCAGGATTTTACCACACTGGGATAAAAGCACAACTAAGGGACAGAATTTATTTATTTCTTTATTTCTCTCCAATTTTCTAATGACTAAGCCAGGAGCTCTGGCTGCAGCCTGCAGTCCTCTACCATACAGGGAGAGCGCATCCAGCAGGGAGCACGAAGCAGGAATATTTTATTTGTCACTACTTAGGCATGGTTGGAAAATCCCCAGCACAGAGTGTTTACGCTGCCAGTGTTTTCACCTCTGTCTCCAGGCAATGGACGTAAACCCTTCCTCCTTCCCTCAAACAGCATCAAACACAGCTCCAGCAAGGAGAGCATCTGTCAGCCCATGAGGCTTCACATCCATGGGCAGAGCTCTGATCCCAAATAAAACCCAACCTGTGCTCCAGAAAGAGACAAGCAGCCCTTTTGCTGGAATTCTCTATATATAGCTTTGCAGAATTAGTGTCCTTTGCAGCAGTAAAGGCAATTTTTAGAACAAAATTTCACATATCTACTTATATGTGGATCAATTCCAATTATTTATTTTATTCCAGCTATCCTCAGGGACAGATCCTGTAACCAGTTTAGCAGCAGCAAAATCATTATTCAACAATCTGACAGCAGAAAAAGGAATAGCACAGCTGGTGACTTCCCACCCTGTGACCCATGAGAGTAGAACAGAAATACAGCACAGCCCAGTTAGCTGAATTTTTCCCACTCTTTTTCCAAATTTCATGATTCCTTCCAATGTAGTTGCTGCAGAGGTAAAGCACTGTAAGCTTGGGATGAACAAAAAGAAATGGCTCTGGCACTCTTCAGGTTCATTCTTGTCCTAATGGATGAAGGTTTTAATCCAGAGGATTCCAAAATAGCAGAATTATTTTTTTCTGCAATGATGTAGTCACTGACTTTAGTGTTGGAGATGTGAACACCAACAAAACCAACCCTGTCAGCTGCTGATAGCTCTTCTTCCCAGTGAAATAGAGACATGGCTCTCTTTGCCCACAAAATCTTTTCCAAGGATTCTCATTAAAGAGACAACAACCCCCATAGGCACTTTCTAGCTACTTCCAGCTCTCCTCCTCTGTGTGTTTAACATTTGACAACAATCCTCACAGCCCAGAAATGCTGTAACACTCCACATGACACAAATCTGAGCTGAAAGAAAGGATTATGGCCAAAGAGGAAGCAAGAAAACCCCCTCTTGCACCGAGTTCTGTTCCTCCCACGAGGCAGCCACAACTGGGTCTTTCTGAGACTTTGCCTGGTCCTGTCTGGCCACAGGTTTGGGGTTTTTTTGTGCTGCAGAAGCAGATGTGAGGCTGCAAAGTAGAAGTTTCCTTTTCAATTTTTTTTTCCCCCCCGAAAAACAAACAAAAAAAAATTTTGTTTTGGTCACAGAGGAAAATAAAGGAAAATTTCTTGAGTACAGCAAAGCCCAAAAGTGAGAGGCAGCCCCAGGAAGAGTTCAGCTGCAAACTCCACCAGCTGCAACCCTTCCACCCAAGCCCTGGGCCACTCCTGGGACTTAAGGAAAGCATCTGGTCTTTGTCGGGGCCCTGGGGCTGTCACATTTCAAAGGCTCCCTCTGTGAGCTCCAGAGGCAATGGAAAATATGTTCAGTTGCAAGTGGGGTCACAGGGGGATGGAGTGAGAGGGAATCAGCTCATGGATAAAGCTCCCTGTGCTGGCTCCAGCTTCAGAGCAGCCTTTGGAAAAACAGATGGGAAAAAACCCCAAATGTGCAAAGCATCTGAGGAACAAGGATGGTTTGATTCCATCTCTGCCCGTGAGGAAAACAGGGAATTGGGAGCCACACAGAGCAGACACGGAGTTTCTTTTAGGAAAATTGCAGAGATAAGCTGTGAGAGAGCTCTGTGAGGTGGGGAGAGCTCAGAGCCTTGTACAGAGGGCACAAGAGCAATGACCAGGCAAAGTGTGCTGGGGTAAAGGAGGGGTTTGGATGCCCAAGGTTCACTTCCCACCCTGCCAGGAGCCAAGGAATTCTGACCAAAGCATATCCAGAGGGTTTGAGCAGCCCTGGAACTTCTGGGAAGCGCTGGGAGCTGCTGGTGTCTGATCACGGCAGGGCTGGGCCTCCAGAGTCTCTGTGCTTTAGACAGAGGAAGGAAACTGCAGCTGTTCCTCCACTGCCATTTGTGAGAGGTTTTTTTGTTTAGTCAGAGCCCTGCAAAGCCTCCCCCTCTGCACAGGAAGGGGTTCTCATGCAGCAGGGTTTACCTGTCAGAGGCAGAAGGGAGAGGACAGCTCACCTGTTGAGAAATTATTGTGAAAATGACTGAAGGGTTTCCTGACAAAACATTCTCATCTGTGAAGAGTGGACCCCAAAATCCTGAGGGGGTCTGCTACCCATCATCCTCCATCCATGAGGCTGCTGGGCTGGGGTGTGACTGGGAGGCTCTGGGGATGCCAAAGCCCTGCTTCACAGCAGAACCTTCCTGATGCACATCAAAAGATAAACAAGCACTGCCAAGCTTAAAAAGAGAAGCAGGTTCAAGGAATAGCTGAAGAGGAAGGTGATGCTGAAAGCTGCCAGTGCCCACAGCTTCCCCAATCTATCAGCAAGATCATTTATTAGGATTCCAGACAGGGATGGCAGATCTGATCCTGCATTTCTTTAGAACCTCCAAGTGTCCCTGCCACAGCAAAGCACCAAGCACAGCGATAGATTTATCATATGCCAGATGAGCCTTCCGTGCAATATGAGCACCTTGCCAAATCTTGGGAACACTTAGGACAAGGCCATAGATGGAAAAAGCAGCTGAAGGCTTCACAAAGCAAGAAAACAACAGAAGCTGGAGCAAGAAAAGTCAGTTCCCAATCAGAGTCCCAGCACTGGAGGAGGAATTGCCCAACACAAGGGGGAGAGAACCCATTGAAGTGCAGGGAATAAATTTTCCAACAAGGTTTTGCTGCCTGTCACATGCATGCAGTGAGGATTAAGATGATGGTCTCCAAAAGGAAAACCTCCCAGCCTCACTCAGAGTGGAATTGAGACAGAGATCTCAGGTTGCATAGTTTATCTCACTGAAGGAAAGGTGCTGCCAACCCTTGTGGTCTGCAGCTTTCCTGGGATTCTCACCAACCTTTCCCTGGACTGGAAGGTGCATCCAGTGCAGCATCAGCTGCTCTGTGCTCAGATGTGGCTGCACAAACTGACACGAGACCATGGACAGCAAGAGTTAACTCCCACAGCAGTAATCAGGAATCTGATAAGAGCTTACAGTCTACACTGATAACACCTTCTCTCCCTTTCTGGGAAAGGCAGAAGCTCTAAAAATATACCCAAAAATGAACATTTTCAATTAAGTATTGAATTAAGTACACTTGCTGTATTGTTTACAGAAATTTTACAGTTAAATAGAGTGAAAAGTGAGACAGCTCATTTTTATCTCTTTTCCTACAGAGTTTACAGTGGGCTGCCCCTCCTGCCTGAGGCTGGGTGCAAGTCACAAAAAGTAAGAGGTCCTTGCAGACATTTGCAGCAAGACAGGATGCCCATCAAGAGTAACAGGAAGCAAAAACCACACAAAAAGTGTTTGTCCATCAGTCTCTCAGGGGCCATGAGCAGGATTCTGCTGCTGTTTATTACAGAGGCAAAGCAACCCGTGAAAAACAGAAGTCCCAGAAATCCACCATGCAAAGTTTCAGGTCCAGGAAATCCACATCACTTCCTGTGCTTTTAAGCAAATGTACAATTTCATTCTAAAAGTGTGAAATGGGGATCCTGACGTGGATTAAGCACGGAGCACAGCAGGTGCTGCCACAGACTGCAGGCTCTGGCTGCCTGCAGGGTCAGCGTTTGTCCACTCACATCTCACACCAGCACAGGAGACAACTCCACCCTCAGCAGCTTCTAAGACTCTACAACACTATTTATTCCAAAGCACTTCAGTGCAATCCCTTGTGACAAAAGAATAGGCTGGGCCATCCTCAGCCAGCTCATTCCATGGGCATTATCCGTGAGCGTTATCCTTGCACAGCTCAGAGAGCTCTGCCTTCCCCACTGCCCCAGGAGCTCGCTCCCACCTCTTGATCTTTAGGCATAGTAATAAGAAAGTGTCAGGCAGAGAAAGTCGAGTAAAAATTCTTTCTTCAGAGGAAATTAATCATTAAAGTGCATGACAATACTGAAAGCCACAGGCTGAACCACAGTCCTCCACAAAATGCACTTTGCTACTGACAATGCCTTCAGTTCTTCCAGCTGCTGGAGGAAGAACTCCTCTGAAGATGGAGGCAAGGTTGCAGCTCAGAAAAGCTGTCAAAACTCTCTGCTTTGTCCCTGCAGAGGCACCATCTCTGTGGCTGGTGGCTGTGGCTGCAGCAGGGACTGCTCCTCTGGGGCAGCTGCTCGGGGTGGTTTCTGTGCTGGCCGCTTCCAGGACCTGGTCTCTGCAGCAGGGGACACAAGAACAGCCCTTCATCAGCAGGAAGCTGACAAAGGGACCCAGCTTTAGAAGGGTGAAGGCTCAGGGAACACCCAACACACACCACAGAATGTTTTAAGCACTGCAACCTCCCCAGTCCTGGAAAACTGGCACCCAGGAGGAATCTACACTGGAGGTTCTGCCCAGGCTCTGCCCAGCTGGACAAGATCTTTCTAACAGAGTAACTGCTCTGTTTCCCACAGAGTTCCTTCCCAGCTCTACCAAGGGAAGCAAATGGAAAGTTCTCTAGCAGAATTTCACAGTGCTCACAGAGTTTATGTCCAAATTCAGGCTCTAAAAGTCCTGTGATTTTAACATGCGCAGGATGACTGGGCCCAAATTTTACCTTTCACCATTTGGGCTGCTGAGCCAGAAATAAGAGCAGCCCTTGATTTTTCTCTGCAGCATTTCCTGCCCATTTCTCCCAGAGCTAAATGGGAATGGCATCTCCTTCCTCCTTGGTGTGCTCCCAAACCCTATCCAGGTCCAGACCTAAATCTTTATTTTCTCAGCTCACAAGTGATGCTGCTGCAGGGAAGCAATTTCAAGTTGGCCTGCCTGGAATTCTGTTGCTAAAGACATAATATGGCAAGAGCAGTTTGCTGAGCAGGAAGCTAAAGGGATACTGCA